ATTCCTAAACGGCTCCATAAGCATACGATAACAGTTCTTAGGACCCCCACAGAACCCCGGGCAGGTTGCTATATATATACTCTCTCCGTGACGAATAATTTGGGACAGAGGGAGTATAAGGTTTGTAATTGTACAAAGTATAAAATATAGTGTCTACTAATATTCTATGGTCTACTAATATTCTATAGTCTAAGGAGCCCTCGAGAATGTGTTTGTTTATTTTTTTGCGATACTTCGTGGTTTTTTCCCCTTTTTTTGCACAACACACAAACGACGACCTTTTGGGCCTAAAAGTAATTCCCTTTTTTTGAATGGAGTAATTTCCTTTTTGTTTCTTAGAGAAAAAAAGTAATCTCCTTAAAAGAAATTGCCCGAAATAAGACTAAAATATAAAGAAAATATCAAAATATGAGTTCTATTTTTTTATCCCATAAGAAGTTCACAGTGTGGTAATGTAACATTGTACATGTACATTTTACGTAATGTACATAGTCATGATTGATAATGTAAATGTATTTTCACTTTTATTTTGAGAATAAAAAATATGGAACTCCTATTTCGATATATTTTCAATGTCTTATTCCTATTTAGTCTTTTTCTTTCTCTTTGATTCCTCTGTCAGCTACAACCTCCATTAGGTTCCAAATTCCGTAATCGGCAATAGGCTTTGGTCCTGTTTGGTACATGGAATTCAAACTATGGAATTGAAATTGGAGACTTCAATTCTAATTCTGGTGTTTGGTAGCACAAAAATTATGTGGATTTGGAATTGATAGCGCAAAAAATGAATTAAAATTGACAGAATTCAATTCTTGTGAATTGAATCCCATGAAATTTCAATTTCAATTCACCAATTCCTTATACCAAACGGACCCTTTGGAAAAATAGAAAAACTGCAAATCAAACAGAAACCGATCAAAACGAGGTGAGTAGTGACTAGTGGTTGTGTTTCAGATCTTCAAAGCTGCACCATGGCAATGGCAAGAAGGAAGCGTATCAAAACCGGCGGCTGCAACCGTTCAATCACTTTGTTTCTCATCATTCTCACCTTCTCTTTGCATTATACGTAGTATTTGCAACATTTCTTACAGCATACTTGCAATTTTTTGCCCTTTTAATTACACCTGTACTGTTTTATTTTTCAAAATAAAGTGCTTAGTACTCCCTTCGTCCTAAAACTTTTTTCCCAGAGCACTATTCCAACTTCACGAAAATTTATATTTATTTGTGTTTTTTCATGGCCTATATGATAAAATAAAATATTCTTGTCACCACTTGTTTTGTTGAACTTTTGATTTAGTTTTTAAATATGTATGCTTTATTTTTTATTTCTATACCAATATTTAAATAAAATAGATTGAAAAAATTTGGGATTTTTCTTCGTTTTGCGCAACGGGAAGAAAGTTTTAGGACGGATGGAGTAGTATACTTTTTCTTTAAAAATCGAACAGAGAGAAGACTCCTAGACTTGTCCTAACTTTCGTCTGATTGGAAAAATTAGCTAATTAATTCCCTTCATCCACTTCTCATTTAGTGTTCCTGCTTACTTATAAGTAACACAGAAGATGTTACAGACTTACAGTACCTTACAAATCGTACATCAGTTGTTCATGTTGTAGCATCTTTGTGCCACACTTGCGTGTTTTATGTGTGAAACTACATGATCTTTCCATGATATGTTTCAGATGGACTATCATTATCTTTCCATTATATTTTAACGTTTGGTATCAATGTTGTAGTTTGGCGTTGGAGTTTTAAAAGTGCTATCAAAGGGCGGTAACATTTACCGTTAGCGTTTTCATAATTTTACATACACCATTAAAATTTTATCTTAAATGCTGATCGAAAATGTTGTTTCCAACAAAGCCAAAGTAAGAAATTGACAAACGTAGTATAAACAAAAAATTACCTTATATTTTTTGCACACCCATGTCTCATATTATTAAATTTTATATTTAATAAGTATTTTTATTTTTTTATATAAATCTTTTGTTTCCTATTTTTTTCTCTTGCTAATGTAAATACAAAAAATCATTAATTTTAACGTATTTTATTAAAACTTTTTGTTTTCTAACTTAAATAATCATTATCTTAGTTTTTATAAAAACTCATTATGTCATTTATATTTTTATCACCATAACGTACACATTTTTTTTGAAAAATCACTGAAAAAATCCATTTAAACTTTATGTTTTAAAAACTTAAAGTATTTATAAAATTTTAAATATTGAAAATTGGAAAATGTATGATAAAATTAGAAATGTAAATTAAAATGTTTCAAAAAAGTAAAATAAAATAACAAAATTAAAATGAATATAATGTTTTGAAATAAAATACGATTATGTATTTGGGAAAAATGATAAAATTAGGAGTAAAACATTGAAAATATACCAAAATAGAAGTTTTGTGTTTTTATTCTCGAAATAAAAGTTAAAATGCATTTACATTACCAATAATGACCATGTACATTACCAAAAAGTATAGTAAACTGCCAATAATGTACAGTACGACATTATCACAATGTGAACTCTTATTTAGGAAATAAAGATATGAGACTTCTATTTTGGTACTTTCTCTATATTTACTCTTGTTCGAGGTAATTTCTTTATGTATTTTAAGTGGAAGCATGTTGGCGTAGTGGCAAGAAAGCCATTCCAAACTTTCCACGTCCAACGTTCGAGCCAAACCCATAACCTTAAGAGGTCGAGATTAGTTTGATCAATTATTACTCAAATTATTATGCTAATGGATATATTATGTTTAAATACGTATTTTAACATAAAATACTTTAACTTTATAAAGTAAAAGAAAAAATAAATACTTCATTTTCTAAAATTTAAAGTTTATATAATTAATGGGTCCCTAATATTTCCCCCCCAGACTATCGGACAGTCCAAGGTCCAAATATGAGTATTCGGCCCTTGTAACAGTTAGGGGCAAGCAAATTAACCGGACCGACCGCGAAACCGAAAACCGAAATAACCGGAAGTTCGGTTTTGGTTTTGGTTTCGGTTTTCATGTAAAAGTTATTTTTGGTTTTTTCGGTTTTTCGGTCGATTTTCGGTTTTTTTGTAAGAAAAACCAAACCGACCGAATAACCGATGATTTTATTTTAATTTATTTTTTATTTTTTAAAATAAGAAAATAGTTGATTAACATACATGCTTTCTTTTTACTCTTTAATGGAAAACTATAATGTTTCACTTTTAAAAAATTTATTTGTTAATGTTTTGAATATATTAATAAGAAAAGTGCAATTTTTATATGAAATGGATAGTGTATATTCAAATAAAAATTAATCTACCTTACTAAATCAATGACAATAGAAAAGTCTTAATCTAAACTAATTTAATACATATCAATCTACATTGCCGAATTAGTTTCTTGGATTTATATTAAAAAATCAAAATAAAAGTAATTAGAATTCGGTTATTCGGTCAGTTTTTTGATGTATGGGCGGTTTTCAGTTTCGGTTTGGTCGGTTTAAATTTATAGTCGGTTCGGTCGGTTTTCAACCATGTTAAAAAAAGTTGGCTTTTTCGGTTTCAAACCGAAACCGACCAAAACCGACCGTTGCTCATCCCTAGTAACAGTGAAAGAGTAAAAATACAGCAGCAATGAATAGTTAAAATGGACAACACATAGTAATACAACTTAATTCGGGATTCTTTCTTCTAAACTGTCCGTCTATGGATTGGAATATCCATTGACCAAGTCTGTTTCTTTTACAAGGGATTCCCTCAACCACCATCTATGCCTTTCATGACCAAGTCTTCTAAATCGTCCGTCTATACCTTTCATGACCAAGTCTTCTAAACCGTCTGTCTATGCCTTTCATGACCAAGTCTCTCTCTCTTTCCCAGAATGCTCCCTCTCTCAGTAAAGGTTAATCACTTTAGAACAAATCCGTCTCTGGACAAATATTCCCAATCACCTCTGTCTCAAACAATGAAAAGAGAATGCTTTGTCCATCTATTAAGGGAGGCACACCCTAATTCTATAAGGGTGGGTCATGTCCTTCCTTGGTGACCTGGTCCTCTATGGGCTGGAGCTCCCTTCTTCCTTCAGCCCAATCTTCCTAAGTCTCATCTTAGTTCTTCCTCTATGCCTACTATCTCACCTCACCCCATCTATCTTACGATATTCAGGCTGGATCCTATAAGGTTATGGACTCTAACTTGGGCCTCGACATATTTTGGGTCCAACCCATCTTATAATGTCTTGATGGACCAGGTTCCCATCAATAATATTTTTGAAGTAATTAATAAATTTTGTATTTCAATATTATTTTTGGTGATGAAAATATATAAATAGGTTAATGGTTTTTTTATAACAAAGACAACAATTATTATTTGACTTAGAATTAAAGGATTCTATTTCAATCTACGCAGTAAAAAAATAATTATTATACAATGTAAAATTTAATAATATGGGATATGCGAGTTCTGAGCAAAAAATGTGAGATGTCTCGGAGTAATTTTTTTGGTATTTGATTAATCGAAAAAACGGAAGTTTAAATCATAACGGGCAAATGAATGGAATGAATTCTCGGAGTACATTACTATGAATTTTAAAGTCTTGCATATTTTAAATAATATGGGTTTCGAAAATTATTACCAGAAAATTCAGGATAGCCCGAAATAATGTTGTGTAGTATAAATTAATGTTACGTTTGTTCTCCGTATTTGGTTTATCCATTGAATACTTTCTATAAACGTGCGAGTTATATATAGTTATATACTACGTATTATTATCACATTTTTTAATAAAGCATACTGCGGCCTATGTGTTATACTCTGTATTAGTATCATCATGAATGGATCTCAACAACCAAATAATCCTCAAATTTTTGGAATGTGGTAAAATCTAATTGATTATTAATGTGTATTGAATTTAATACCATAAAATACCATTTTCCACAACACATGCAATACCAAAATACAAACTTAGCGCCAAAAAAATGACTATAAATACTTCAATCATCTAATATTACACAAGCATAATTAGTCTTAATATTCCATCAAATCAAAGTAGTTTAGTTTAAAAAATGTCTAGCAACAGCGTGAACAAGAGGGTTAGTAAGGGTCGCCAAAAGATTCCGATGACAAAAATCGAAAACGACGTTCATCGTCAAGTCACATTTTCAAAGCGGCGTTCAGGTGTATTCAAGAAATGCAGTGAACTATCAACCCTATGTGGCGTGGATATTGCTATGATTGTATTTTCGCCAGCAAACAAGGCATATACTTTTGGAAACCCCAATTTGAATGCAATACTCAACAAATACTTTGATGAAAATCCAGCACTGCAAGCAAACATCACGGATGAGATTCTCCGTGCTCGTCGCGAGGCCAACATGAGCACAATGACTCCGAGGATCAGTGATATGGAATCTCTCATTTACAATCTCAAGAACGAGAATCAAGCTCTACACGAAGCTGAAAAGGGTAGACCTGATATTTCCAGCCTACAGTTGTCTGAGCTAGAAAGTTTGAAACAACGCTTAGAAATGCTTCAAACTAAAATTGATGAGAACCTAAAGGTGGCATCAATGGAAGTTGAAAATCATGGCATGGACACACCAACTATTGAAAGGGGTAACTTCTTTGGCTCCCATTTTGGAAACAATGGTGGTTTTGGACGAAGTGGAACTTCCTAGCTAGTTCATTATATTGCTGATATATATATATATATATATATATATATATATATATATATATATATATATATATATATATATATATATATATATATGATCCTAGTGGGCATGATGATGCCATTATACTCTGCCCATTCCTCATAGAGAACATGAATTGGATGTGGGTATATTTTTCTACTTATTTTAATTCATTTTGTTCCTACATTGTTTTATTAAAAAAAATCATTATATTTTAAAGTAATAAAAGAATCTTCATATTTCTCCTTCTTTTAGTAATATACTAATTTTATATTAGGAGGAATTTCAAATACGTGTTTAGATTCATCTTATAAATCAGTTCCTCCATTGTTCTGATTTAATCAATTTAGTTTGATTTCACGGAATATAAGAAAAAATGTTTAAAATACTTTTAAAAATAAAGTACTTTTATGTCTTACAATGGATGCCACTTTCTAAATAACGTGCAAAATTCCCACTTCTAAAACTATTTTAATTACGAATTTGCATGGATATAAAAAGAACTCCCTCCATTTGAAATTGTTATTCTCATTTGGCTTATCACAGTCTCTAAGATTACACTTTGACCATTAATACATTTATTCACACATACATATATTTTATAAAAAATTGATATTTAAAAACTAAGTTTCAATAGGAATATATTGATATTAAACTTATATCATAATACAATGTATTTTTTCTACATATCGAAGTCAAAGTTTACAGATTTTAACCAAGACAAGTCAAATGAGAAAATATTTCCGAACGGGGAGAGTATTAATTATACTGTTCAAAAGATCATAAAAAGTTTTACAAAATAAGAAATTACGAGAATATTTTATTTTATCAAATTAAAGTAAAACAGTATATGATTTAATCAGACACAAAAAAAAAGTGTATGAATTATTTGGAGAAGAAGGGGTATTTTCATAAAATTAATTTATTTTATGAAGGTACGATCAAAACAAAAATCAAATTGGATAAATAAAATCAAGAGAACTAAAAGACCCACCGTGCGGGAAAGTAAAATTAAAAAGTATGGAGTATATGGATAATTAGGGTCTAGGGACAACAAAAAAGTTTATGACTAAATTAGGGAAACATGGAGCATTTTCATTAAAAAAAATTATTTTATGAACGTAAATAGATTCATACACGTGTGTTGTACGCAAAGAAGCTAGTTTCAGAAGAAAAATGACAAGATATTTAAGTCACTAATGTTTGAGAATAAATAATACGGAGTATATATATTTAAGTGAATGATATAATAACTTCAGATTCACAAAAAATTTATTCAGGTACATCCCAAAACTGAGGAGAAAAAACCCCACATGGCCACACGCCTCTCTTGTATTTATTTGTTAAAGCATAAATTACATTATACTAGTGTTAACCCTGTGCTTCGCACGGGCTCGTATACATTCTAAATTTTTGACATTCTATAAATATAATTTTATTTATTTTAGTTTTTTAATAGTGACATAATATGTGTTAGATGAATATTTTTTTAACTCTAAAATATATCTTTTTTCAAATAATATAATTTAAATATAGATGTACATGCACTAAAGATTCTATAAGTATTTTCTTTAAAAGTAGTAAAAGAGAAATAATTTATTATTTTTAAAAATCATATAAAACTTTATTTTTCATACATCGATAAAGTTAAAAAATATTTTATACATATAATTTAATTATGTGAACAGAATATGTTTTAAACTGGTGGAATATATATTGGTATGTTTATTTAAAAACAAAAACTTTGTACAAAAATAATGGCCATTATTGAATGAAGTACTAATGAAAATGGTTTTAATTAATAAAATATTATAATAAAAAATGGAATAATTAAATAATGATACATCATTAGAGAATGTATATGTGACAATATATATGTATGTATGCATGTGTGTGTGTATGTATGTATGTATGTGTGTGTGTGTGTGTGTCTATATATATATATATATTACCATGATGATATATATGTTTATAAAATTGTTTAAAAAGTAATGTTTTTTAATACTAAAATATAATATTTATTGAATGTAATATATTAAAATGTGTTAAAAGGTATTTTTAAATAATTAAATGGACCAATAAAATTCCTCCATCTCAACAATAGATGCACATGTGGATGATTAGGTGGCATGCCACATGTCAACACTCCAAGAATTGAACCTAACTTTATATGTATGTATGTATGTATGTATATATATATATATATATATATATATATATATATATATATGATAGGATTGTCTTTTCATATTTGATTCAATTTGAAGAGACTAAGAACATCAAATTATTATGTTCATCCTATTTCTCAAAGAAAAATATCTATTTTGATTAGTCTCAAAGATTAATATTCTCCCTGTTCTAAAAAGAATATCGTGGTTATTATTTTGGCCTTTTAATAACTTTTGTTTGTTTACTCATTTTGATTGATTATTCGATAAAATAAAATATATTCTTGTCGCATCTTGTTTTGTAGAGTTCTTGATGTATTTTTAAACGATGTAATTTTTATTTTTAATTGCTCTACCTATTTGTAATTAAAATCATTTCAACAAAAAAAGGACACACCACGCATGTATGGACATGATAACTCATGAGGTCTTCCTTGGTATGAAAATCACAAATGGGATGAGGAATCTGAAAGCATTGTCGTGACCTGAAATATTTTGGTCTCGTCCCTATAATCATCTGTTATATGGGGATGACAAAATTTTGTCCCAAACCTATTCCGAACTGTTTTAAAATGGGACATGACCAGAATACATAAATATTTTCCCGTCTCGTTATCCCAAATATATGTATACATTTATTTGTTTATATAATGATATAACACAAAAAATATCATATTTTTTCCCTCAAAATAGATATAAAAAGTATCCATATTCGAATATTTTAAAAAATTGGGCTAGGACTAGAACACCTAAAAATCCAGACTGTTCTAAACCAACCCAATTTGTGGCTCATAGTTTTTATGAAACTTATAATCTTGACTTTTAACGTATGTTGTAACATTTTTTTCATGTTTCCTTATTGTTTTGGCTTTTTAAAAACATTCTAAATAAATATATGCTTTTTTCATTATTTTGCAACTCAAAGTGGTTGCCTCTTGCTTATGTAGTTTATTTTTATATCTAATTCAGGATAATGACAAATTAGGACACTCCGAACCCGTTCTGTCCCTAATCACAAAGAACTTTTCAAAAAGATTTAAGGAACCGCTACGATGCCAAAATATTTTCCCATCTCGTTGTCCCGAATATATGTATATATCTATTTATTTATATATTTATATAACACAAAAATATCACTATTTTTATTTTTCCCAAAATAGATATAAAAATATCCATATTAAAAAAAAGACTAGGACTGGAACACGTAAAAATCTACATTTGTCTAACCCAATCCAATTTGTGGCTCATGGTTTTTTTATGAAGTATAAAATCTTGACTTTTGACGTATGTTGTAACATTTTTTCTTCACGTTTTCTTATTGTTTTGGTTTTTTAAAAACATTCTAAATTAATACATCATTTTTTTCCCATTACATTGCAAGTCAAAGTTGGTTACCTCCGCTTATATATATATATATATATATATATATATATATATATATATATATATATATATATAATTTTTTATACTTTCTCTGTCTCTAAATGATTCACACACTTTACTATTCAAAAATCGAGAAATTTTGTTTTATTGTGTATTTTCATTGATTATTTGATGAAATAAAATATTCTTATCGTCTCTTATTTTGTAAATTTTTTTATATATTTTTTAAATGTGTAAATTTTAATTTTTATTTATATACCAATCTTTAAATAAAATGATCACAAAAAAAATTTGAACTTTACACTTCGTAAGCAAATGATTTAGGGACAGTTAGACGGATAATCACAAAGTATGACAATCCCAACCCGTTCCACTCCAATCACATACTCCCTCCGTTCTAAAAAAGAATTTCTAGTTTGACAAAATGTTAAAATAAGAAAATGTTAAATTTTAGTTGACTTCTAATTTTGCCTTTAATGTGATAAGTAAAAGTAAGATGTGATAGATAGATTATTAGAGAAAAAATATGATGTGATAAGTATGGTATGAAAAAATAAGGATAAAAGTGGTTTGTTAATAGAAAGTGGAAGTGTTTTGTTTTTGGGGAGTGTTTTTGAGAACGGAGAGTAACAAAAAAGTAAAAGACGCGCCAGGTAGGGGTCGAACCTACGACCTTCTGCTTAGGAAACAGACGCTCTATCCACTGAGCTACGGGCGCTGATAATATCAATTTGTAGTCTTAAATACATATACTTAATTTAATTTCTTCCTTTAAATTTCGCCTGGCGCGCACCCGATAAATTTCTCGCCTTCAAATCCTCCATAGATTGCAAAACCGGGGGTGGAGAAAATGGACGAATCGATCGGAAAATTCAGCAAATCCATCGCCGCCTTCTGCAACCACCTTCAGGCGAGGTGCGACGCCCTCACTCAGTCGGTCAACCACCGCCCCGTTCCCCTCGGTGCCGTTCCCTTTCTAAATCCCTAAATTATTACTCGTAGCCACAAATCACTTTCTTTCTTTCTTCTTCTTCTTCTTCTTCTTCTTCTTCTTATTTTTAATCTAATATTTGTCCGGCATCCATGAAATAGATTCTGCATCGACGACGTTCGTGCAATGCCTGAAAAGGAGAGTGGCTTCGACGAGCGGAGATCTCAACTTATTGGAGTCTATGTCCTTCGGAACGGTGTCGTTTGAGGAACTGCTTGGCCACTGCAATGAAGTCTACAAGAAGAACCAAAATCAGCTCTCGTCTCTCCAGGACCATCTCTGCTCCCTGGGCTATATCTCTTCTTGTGAGTTGTCTGCATAACACAGTCAATTTTTCATCTCTTTTTTTTCCTTTCCCTTCGGTTCGAGCTCGACCCGGGATGAAGGAGGAAAAGAAAATGAAGTAAAATAAACTAAAAACCGTAATTTTGTTTGGTTAGTACAAAAATCGGTAAGGAAATTACCT